TATAAAGGCATAGAAGATGAGAGAACACTCATGGACCATTGGCCTTAATATATTTTGAGATTTTTCTATGAAATTTTACATTGTTAACTATAAAGTATAAATTTAAGCTAAGTCTTCCTCCTTTCTCTCCTTTCTCCTCCACTCTTTTCCTCCCCCTCATAAGGATTTCAGTCCTTAGGATGGCCTCTAACTTGGGGCAGCATTCCTTCTTTGGCCCTCTTAGTGCTGGAATTACAAGTGGGAGCCACTGTCCAGAAAGCATGTCTTTTTCAAATATGCTTTTTCACTGATATCTCTGCCAAAATGGGCATATTTAATTCTGCACTTAAAATCAACTCTAAATGGATACATTTGGGAAACAGGGCCCTGGCCTTGATGATGGTGGCATAACTTTGGTGGTATAAATTCCACTGTGATCATTATCAGTCTCACTAAAAATGGAAGCTGTGTAACATCTTCCCTGCTTTTTGTATTCAGGATCCACAGAAGAAAAAACATTATTGGAATTTAGAGATGCTTTAACTAAAATGCATGTGTTCCATCAACTACACAATATGTGCTTCTGGAGAAACAGAGAGAGACTTCTGATTATACAATGTGGTAATGGAAAAAGATTGCGGAGCCTGTGTGGGCTGCCAGTGAGGTGCTAAGCTTTGAATAAAATGGCATTTTATCATCTTTGAGAAGCAATCAGAAGTGAGGAACAAAGACTTAAAATTAATTTAGACCAAATTCCCATATTTCTGTCATTTAAGTGTTTGTTTTGCTTTCTCATTCTTAATTAGTCATGTTCACATTTGAAGAACCACCTGCCCTGTTTAGTGTCACTAGAAGTGTCACTCAGTAGCTCCTGGGATAAGCTGCAGGAATTTTGGTTACAGACCAGCTTTTTAAACTCAGAGAACAGTGACTTTTAGCATCATGCCTGAGTGGCATCTGATATATTTGCTGATAGTTCATGCAGAATCCTCCAGGAAAGTTCTGGAGATCTGGGCTAGGGTCCAGAATTTTAAATTCCCTTGATTTATAAAAGTTACTTGACAAATTTTGGTGTGTACTCTCATACTTTCCTATGATATCCATAAAGTAAAAGATACTTTATCCAGGGGCTCAACGCGGAAATGTTTCTGGAAATTGCTTTTATTAGGTTACCTGCTTTTCTTGTATACCCTAGCACATTGGTTTTCTGTGGCTGATGGGTCAAATGACCACAAACACATTGTATTTTAAAGGTGCAGAAATATGTCCTCCTGCACTTTTGGAGACTGGAACTGTGAGAAGATTCACATGAAGACAGGTCTACATTCGCTCTGAAAGGTCAAAGGAGAATCTGTTCCCAGCCTTTTCGAGCTTCTGGGGGTTGCCTAGCTAATGACTGCATCACTCCACCCTCCTTGTTCTTCTCTTCTGCTGCTTTAAATTGCCCTCAGCCTTCTTCTTGTAAAGATACTTGTGATTGCATTTAGAGCCCACCCACAGACTTTCCCCATCACAAACTCTTTAAATTTGATCTAAAGATTTTTTGCCATATAAGGAAATATTCAGAGGTTTTAAGAATTAGGACACAGCCATCTTTGGGTGGTGTGTTGTTCAGCCTCTACAGCAGGCATCATCTCAGTGTGTGTATCCATATGGGTGGGCACCGTAGTACTTTTATCCACTTTACCCCAGCTGTCAGTCCAAGGGGAAGCGGACAGCCTGCTGGGACAATGTTAATCCACAAACCCTGAAGTCTTGGCTAAGACAGATAATTTATCTCTAGCTGTGTGAAAGGTTAACAACCTGCACATTGAGTGTCTGGGGGTAGAAGGAGAGAGGTAGAACAGCCCAAAGATCAATGCTGGGTGCCTTCAGAAGGCATTCTCCATCTTATCTACTGAATCTGGAGCTCAGGGATAGAGCTGGACCAGAGAGTAACAGGGCTTTCTCCTAGTACTGGAATTACAGAGGCATGCTGCCATACATGGCATTTTTTAAACTGTAGGTGCTGAGGTTATTAACTGTGGTTCCCCATGCTTACATGACATGCATTTCATTAACTGAGACATCTTCTCAGGTGCAGGGGTTATTTTGTTAAGCTGTAGCCTTCTCCTCCAGTGTTAGCCACTCGCATGGCCAATACATTTGATTGTCAGTGGACTGAGAGTACGGGTCATTTTAGCAGGTTTGTCCTCACTGACGAAGGAACTTGAAGTATGTGTCCTAGCAAAACAGTGCCTATTCTGTGAAGCTTGTCTTTTAAGAATTTAATCTTCCAGGGCCCTGAATTATTCGAATCCATTTAAAAGAAGCACAGGCCCCCAAACCCTTAACTTAGCGCAGGAGCATGCAGAACTGTGAAGTTTAGGATTGGAAGAAAGAATGTAATTAGTTGATGGTAAATGTAAATAGAGAGCTGGGGGTGATAATGGCTAGAAAGGTCCTGTATTCAACCCAGCACCAAAAAGGAAGAAACACAAAAAGTAGAAGAGGAGGAGTGCTGTTTCAGAGTTAAGTGTGTGAGAAGTGGCTGCAGGATGACCTTAGAGTTCATCTTCCACATCCTAGGTAAGGTAGCATTTGCTCCTTTCGGCTCTGAAATTCCATTGTGGGGATTCACTCCAAGGGAACAGGGACCTTGACAAATGCCTCTTGGAGAAGGTGCTGGGAGGTTCAGGCCAATGGTGAATGAAGTCAGACAGAGGTGGTGACTATCCAGTGGCATTCATTGCTTTACCTTTTCTCTGATCGTGCTGAGCGGTCATAAACAGATTCACAATAGTGCGAGCCCAGGAGCTAGTCTAGTCACTAGACCTGGACTGCCCATACTCCTCAGGGAAGGCCTGGTCCTAGAACCTCATTGTCTAGCAAACTGATGGTATACCAGAGAGCTGGAAACTAACCCGCAATGAGAATGTCATCTTGGGGCTTTTACAGCTGGAACTAAAAGAAAGAATCCCTCCCCCACTTTCTACTCACTAGAAACAATGAATGTGGGTTGCACAAAGGGACATTCCTATGGAGTAGAGAAATAAATAGTGGAGATGTTTGGTGTAGAAAGGGGGGCGGAAGAAAAGATAATGGAGTTTAATGTCTGTGTCTCTGAGGCTAGTTCTGTCAATACCCTTTTATGGTGTGGCTACATGAGCTAATAGCTCAGTTTAAGTGTTTGGCATTTTAGCTAAAAGAATTCTTGAGTCAGACATATGATGTAGCTCAGTTGACCAGGTGCCTGCCTAGCATGCGCAGTACCCTGGGGTCAATCCAGAATATCACATTAGAGGGGAGAGGTGATACATGCCTCTTTTCCCAGCACACAGGAGGTAGAGACGAGTAGAGAAGTTCAAGACCATTGTCAGCTGTGAAATGAGACGGAGATCCACTTGTGCTACATGCGACCTGCCTCAAAGGAGCAAAGGGAATCTTAATTCTTACATGGCATGTTAGCATGGGTTGGCAGAGTTACCTGGTATCTCTTTTCATGTGCAACAGAGAGACCATAAAAGAAGGAAGTTGATAGTATAGACAGGATATCCATTGTCTGAAATGCTTGGGTCTAAAGATGTTTCAGAATTTTTGTGTCTTGGAGTATTTGCATATAAAATATTCAATACTTGCATATCTTACATATTGTCTTCGGAAGGAACCCAAATCTGAGTAGGAAATTCATTTTTTCGGATAGACATTATATACACTGTCTGAAGGCAAGCTTACACAGGATTGATAGTAGTTTTGTTCACAATTTTTCTCTACCGTTTTTGAGATAAAGTCAACTCTGAAATTTTTATTAGTCCAGGCTTGCAGGTGTGTGCTACTTCACCTGTTTTAAAACTAAGTTTCATGCTGCGGACTTTCCCATTTGTGGCATCGAGTAGAATTTTTTAACCTTCACATTTGGAGCTCTTGTGGTTTGTTTTTGGGTTTGGCTGGTTTTGTTTTTTGGTTAAAGAGCTGAATTGGTTAGTTTTCTTGTACCTTTGACAAAATCTGTATTTTCAATGTATTTCTACTAAATTTGGAAGTGCTTTGATAAGAAGGGAATTTGCTATGGGAGTATAGTCCTTTGGTTGGCACACTCAGCCTTCCTCATCTGAAAAGTGATTGAGTGGCAATGGCCCCTCCTTCCCTGTCTCAGAGTAGATAGCCTCTGCTTAGCATTTAGCCTCTAGCAGATCCAATACTTTATTGGAGAAAAGTTCTAGCATCATTAAATTTTATTATTTTTTTCTGTATTTTCTGCCATGGCTTTGAATATTAGAAATGCATTTGTCTTTACTTTGTCTTATTCTAAATTAAAGCATTTTCCTGGGTAGATGCTATAGATGAGCAAATTGATCACAAGGGCTCTCTCTATATGGAGTCCTGGTTCTGGGAGGGCCAGGGAGACTGTCTTAGCTGATAGGATTGTGTCTCTGTTTCCCCAACCCTTGGCAAGATTTCTGTCTCCGTTGTGTGTGTGTACATACATATATATGTATATATATATATATGTATAGCACTCACTGAACTGTAAGGAGAATTTTGACCTTAGATTAATAAAAACCACTTGAATCACTGGTGAAGAGACTCTTAACAGAGGATACATTTTCGTAGCTGGCTTAAGGTCCTCTTCCATGTGTCTCTTTATGTAGCATAAGAGCAATCACATTTCTTCCTTTACTGAAGAGTATGACTACCCTTAAAATCCATGTTAATGACATTGTTAGAACATTTGTTAAATGAATGAAATAGAATGCCCGGCTTGAGTTCAATCATAGCCTAATGTTATTGTACCAAGACACAATGTACAGTACTGTGCATTGTTTCTGAAAGTTTTTACTTCATGCATGTTTCTTTGTTTCATAAAAATGTTCATTTGCCTCCCATGTGAATTCGTCAGCTTCTAAAGAGACGGATCTGATTGTGAAGGCATGAGGAAGTTGCTCAAAATTTCCTGACACCTCTGACTTTGCTCCTTTACTGAATTCAGAATACAAAACATAATAAAAAGCCTAATTTGATCTTATTTCCTCTGTTTTCAGGCTCTGTACAACTCAATCAAGAATGAGAAGCTTGAATGGGCAGTGTGAGTATGCTGCTATCAACTTTTTAATAATGTGTTTTTTTTCTTACTTCCTTTCGTTATGGCTTGCAGGTGATTTTAGAGAGCTATTTTATTTTATGTCAGTTGTCTTTCCTGCTTTATATGAATCCTGAGGAAACTTGGAGAACTCTGTTACTACTGGTGGTAGTAGTATTTGTTAGTCAACATTCTGAATATAATAAACAGTTAGTCACCTTACAATAATCTTTGGAAATGGCATCGTAAAAGAAAATGTGTTGGTAAAATTGTGTTTATACCAAAACTTAAAATACATCATGTGTATACCATCTACTTATCTGATTTCTCCTCTTGCTAACATCAAAGATCAAGGGAGGCCAATCTTGTTTCTTATGACACTAGTCTACTGTGACATGAGTCCATATTAATGAAAAGAGGGATTGTTTTCTAACATCATTCTCATTCATTCCTTAAACTTTACCTGCCAACTCTATACAAACGCTCCCTCAATATGGGTACAGTTCTGCCTGCTTTGCTAGGTTTCAGTTACCTTTGGGCCAACACTTACATACACCATCTCTTTCTGGCTCTCATAATAGATTCATTACTGTTATGAACACCAGTAAATTCCTACTTGCCTGAGTTTTGGCTTCTGCATCACCTTTGACTTCAGCCATAACTTCTCTAGACCTGGCTTTAAGCAGTGTCCTTCCTTTCAGTCATGCTGCTGCCACTCATACTCATTGAAGCATACATAACGTGTGCCTCCTAAACAAGTGGATGTGCATCTGTCTCTTGTTTCTTCCCTCTACGATAACCTTACTGAAGCATGCCTATGCTGTAAAACTACACATTCTGTCTGAAACCTCCTTTATTGCACTCTGTTGTCCTCACACAGTGCTCCTGTGACTAAGCAGTGCCCATGGCTTTTTCTCTATGCTCTGTGTGGAATCCTATCCCCAAATCTATTACAGCTTAGCTTTTATGACACTCATTCCTTCAAGTCTTTCCTGGCCTTGCCAACCAAAAATGATCTCCATTTTACTTTATCTGATGCCACTATCACTTTATATTCCCCAATTATAGCTACTTGCAATAAAATTGCATTAGACTCCAGGTTCCTTGAGGAAATGATATATATCTGACTTCTCGCTGTATTTCCTCCTTTGCTTACTGCAATGCCTGCATGGACTGATAATTCCGTAAAGCACCATGGGAAAAGTTGATCAGAGAGATAACTGGGAGAGCATGTATTTGTCATGTGCAAAACACCAGGCTCAATCCCTAGCATGAGGAAGAGGAAATGGGGGGGGGACCAAAAGCAGTGCTATAGAAAGAATTTTAATGATACAATGAGCTGCATTATTGAGAGGTGACCCTGCATGTGTGTAGCTCAGAGCATAACTGAAAGATGTCATATGCATGTTCGGGTCATAAAGGAAAGATGCTTCTGATGCAGAATGTGTGATATTTGTACACTTGGATGGGAATTCCTTGGAGGAGACAGAAATGTACAGTTATGGACTGCTGTAGTAACTAAAGGGATCTCTACTGTTAAATACAAGGAGATAACTGAGGGATCATACTCCTTGGGAATGTGAGTGAGGAGAAAGGGACATGGCAACCAAGTAGCAAAAGCACTTCCATTATGATCTATTTAAAATGTGATGGAAGTTTCAATAAATACTTTCCTTTTTGTGTGTGTACATACACAGTGTGTTGCTCTATCCTAGAGCCTTCTTTATCTGTCTGAGGAAAATTGAAATCAAGACACATTCATCCATAGGTCCGAAGACATCCAGCTGGTACCATGGCAAAGGCAGGGTTTGTTTCCTCTGATGTCATGCCTGGCTTCCCTATAGGTACATAGTCTTACGACAGTCCTTATTGGAGTCCGTTTATGCCAGCCTTTGGTACAGTACAAGTTAAGAGAGTCCCATCAGATGCTCATAGAGTTACTGCTATTGCCAGGCAGCTAGAGAGGGAGGATCAACCACTCAACTGCTCCATTCTGTAAGCTGTCCTTCAGAACCTGGCCAAGTGTAGAGCACAAGATACAGATGGGACTCTGGTGCAAGTCTGCGTCAAATAAGAACAAAGTGTGAAAGGAGGAGAGGCCACTTTAAAAATGGAAATATGGTGGAGCAGAAAGGTTGATGGGGGGAAGAATAGAGGAGAGCAGGATGAGAGATACCATAATAGAAGGAGTCATTATAGCTTTGAAGAGAGATCTGGCACTAGTGAGACTTCCAGAGACCTACAAGGATGACACCAACTGTCAATCTAAGCTATAGTGGAGAGGCTACCTTAAATGGCCTTCCCCAATAATGAGATTGACAACTACCTTGTATGCCAGTCTAAAGCCTTCATCCAGAGGCTGATGGAAGCAGAGGCAGACACCCACAGGTAAACACTGAACTGAACTGAACTCCTGGAACCCAGTGACAGAGAGGGAGGAGTGATGAACAAAGGGGTTAAGACTGGGCAGGTGAAACCCACAGAAACAGCTGACCTGAAGATGGACCCCAGACTGATGGCTGAGAGGCCCGCATGGGACTGATCCAGACCCCCTGAACATGGGTGTCAGTGAGGAGGCCTCGGCATTCATTAGGGCCTCAGGCAATAGATAACTATTTATTCCTGGCATCCAGATGGACTTTGGGAGCCCTTTCCACGTGGAGGGATGCTCTCTCAGCCTGGACACATGGGGGAGGGCCTAGACCCTGCCCTGGGTGATATGACAGATTTTGGAGATCAGCCATTAAGGGCCTCACCCTCCCTGGAGACTGAAGTGGGGACTAGGTGGGAGAGTTGAGGGGCTGAAGGGGGGAGGAGGGGAGGGAATAGGAGCTGGGATTGACATGGGAAGCAAGCTTGTTTCTAATTTAAATAAAACATAATAATTTTCATGGAGAACAACAGCAGCAAAGGAATGAGAATATGAAGTGTGTAGTGAAGTAAGCACAGAATTGTCTGGCTACTGGAAGAAGTCAGCCACCTCACACAGAAAAGTTACCATTGAACTGCTTTGTCCTATGAAGGATGCTGGAAATTCAGAGAGGGCAAAACCCTGTGTACCACCGTGGCATTTTCCTTAGCTTTAAGGCAATTCAGAGTTCAGGTTTACAAAAATCAAAGTAGGGAGTAGGATAGAGATTAGACAGCATTTATGACTAATTCTAGCCGCATTTAAAATATACCCACATGGAGATCTTCAGAGAATACAACCGTCAATGTGATAAAGTTAAAAAAGAAAGTACAATAGTATTTGGAAGAAAAGCAATGGATGTAATGCTTCAATATGTATGGCTGTTGTTTTAACTACATTGACACTTGTATTTAGTAATACAAGGAATTTTCCTTAAAATGTGTGTCCCTGATGTTTGTACCTGGTCTCACTGTAGTGAGGTCACAATATAACCCGTTTTCAATACTGAATTCCTGGGTTATACTTTTGTTCCAAGTGCTTTGCCCTTGCTCCTCATTTTAAGTCTGGATAAACATTTTATAACTGCATCATAGAATAATCTTTGCTACTTCCTGTTAACCTACCAACTCATTTATAAGGAGATCATTTCAAAACCTTTTCAATCTTTTCTTCTAAATTGAGCTGTTTCTTGTTTGCCATCAAATAATAAATTATCCTGGCTTGTTATCTGGGGTAGTGGCACATTGGACTCTTTCTGTCCCTCTTCATGTATGAGATTACCCCTGCACATTGAAAATACGGTTTCAGGGATGGCGATGCCTCCAGAAGTTCCTTTATTATACAGGATTGTTTTAACTATCCTGTTTTGTTTTTGTTTTTGTTTTTTCCATATGAAGCTGAGTATTGTTCTTTTGAGGTCTGTGAAGAATTATGTTGGGATTTGATGGGGATTCCATTGAATTTGTAGATTGCTATTGGTAAGGTTGCCATTTTTATTATGTTTATCCTACCTATCCAAGAGCATGGAAGATCTTTCCATTTTCTGATATCTTCAGTTTTTTTCTTCAAAGACTTAAAGTTCTTGTCATACAGGTCTTCCACTTGTTTAGAGTTACTTAAAGATATTTTTTGTTATTTGTGACTATTGTAAAGGATGCTGATGCTCTAATTTCTTTCTTGGCCCATTTAACTTTTTATTTTTTATCTTATTTATCTTTAAAAGTATTATATATAATATAGTAACATTATGTGTTAATGTTTATGTATTATATATTACATACATTTGCATTATATTTATATTTTATTTTTTATTATTTTTTGGGGGGCTACTGATTTTTTTAGCTAGTCCTGTATCCTGCCATATTAGTGAATATGTTTATCATTATAGGAGTTCCACGGTAGAATTTTAGGGGTCACTTGTGTATATTATCATATTATCTGCGAATACTGAAAGTTTGACTTCTTCCCTTCCAATTTGTCTCACTTGATCTCCTTGTATTGTCTGATTGTTGTAGTTAGAACTTTGAATACTATATTGAATAGATATGGAGAGAGTAGACAGTCTTGCCTTGTTCCTGATTTTAGTGGAATCTCTTTGAGTTTCTCTCCATTTAGTTTGATATTGGCTGTTGGCTTGCTATATTGCCTTTATTATGTTTAGGTATGTTACTTGTATCCCTGATCTCTCCAAGACCTTTATCATGAATGGTTTTGTCTAATGCTTTTTTCAGCATCTAATGAGATGAATCATATGTTTTGTTTCTTCATTTATTTATATGGTGAATTACATTGACAGATTTTCGTATGTTGAACCATCCCTGCATTTCTGGAATGAAGCATACTTGATCGTAGTGGATAATTTTTTTATGTGTTCTTGGATTTGGTTTTCCAGTATTTTATTGAGTATTTTTGCATCAATGATAATGAGGGAGATTGGTCTGTAATTCTCTTTCTAAGTTGAGTCTTTGTGTGGTTTGGGTATCAGGGTAACTGTAGCCTCATAAAAAATAGTTTGGCAATGTTCCTTCTGGAATAACTTTGAGGAGTATTGTTATTAGCTCTTCTTAGAAATTCTGGTAGAATTCTGCACTGAAAC